ATCGGTATCCGATCCACGTCCCTCTCGAGCCGACTTGACAAAGATTTCCACTAATCCATCAACCACTAGACAGAATCCCTTTTCCTCCTCAAGGTTCAAGGTTTCACCAGCTATGAGCTTTCTCGTTTGCATGGAGCGTGTGAGTTCGTGGAAGACTGGGCGTTCCAAATAACCAAAGATCTTGATGGCACTCAGAAACTCATCCAGGTAATTGGAAAACCCTGACTTTGATCCTTCATCCTGCGTGTCTGGATAGAGGTCTATCTGAGGTTCCTTTCGCTGAGGTTCCGGAGGTAATCGAGAATACATATTGAGAAATCGATATCTTACGAACCAACTCATGGTTGACACAAATGCCACCATGATCAACATTCTAAAACAAGCAGTTAGCAAACACGATATAGTAAATCGAGTGGCACATACAAAGTAGTAGCATTCATGGTAAATGTCAAGCTAGTTGAGAACAGCGTAAAGAGGAAAGTCGGCATTGTAATTGTCGTGAAAGTTATCACCCAGTACAGAATTCCAGGAATCACTCTGATGAAGAACATGACCATTTTTCCAAAGACTCCAAATGTTGATCCTGCCACTGCAACATCTGTTTGGTTTGTTGGTATACCAGTAACGGATGCCATGGCTGAAGCTATTGTCGAGTCCATGGAGCTCACAGAGCTTCCCACAAGGGAGGAAACCGTTTCAGAAGACATGATTTCGGAGTTCAAGATTGTAAATGGTTTAGCAGAATCGACTGCTGTTCATAAACACTCCACTTTGGCATATCGGTAAAGATTCCATAGTTTAATACGGCCAATAGTTGTTGTTATGGAAAAACAATCCTTCGATCACCTTGGAATTTCGAGCACCACATAGACAATCGAGTGACAGGGAACAATTTCATGAAGCTTCAGGTAAATTCAATAAGGTTATGTAAGACATTCGATACTTAGACGTCACTGCACCAATCAAAATTGTCCAGCTCTTTTTTTATTTAGCGAGACCATCCCACCACCGGCCCCTCTCCAAATCCCCGACCGAAAGATTGTGACTCTTTCAACCTTAGAGCCTTGTTAACTTTGGGAGAAATCTATCACGAATTTGAATTTGTACAAAGAACAACAATATCAACATAATTCACAACATCGGACCTGTCATTCAAAGAAGCTTCTCATATACGGCGACGAAGCCAAACAAAATCCATAAAATTTTCACCTCGCGCTCAGCCGCGCAACAATCGCAACCATGTCTCTCACAAACTGCCGTTTTTATGAAGAAAAATACCCCGAGATCGATAGCTTCGTCATGGTGAATGTCAAGCAGGTATGGAATCAGAGGCGCGCTCGTAGGTATAGAGGAAATGCTAATCTCCAGCTCCGCAGATCGCAGAGATGGGTGCTTATGTTAAGCTCCTCGAATACGATAACATCGATGGCATGATTCTCCTCTCCGAATTATCTAGACGTCGTATTAGAAGTATCCAAAAACTTATTCGTGTTGGACGTAATGAGGTTGTCGTTGTTCTCAGAGTCGACAAGGAGAAGGGTATGCTCAAAATTGTTGAATGTTATGTTGTGGCGGAAGGCTGATCTGGTCAATTGCAGGTTATATTGATCTTTCCAAACGAAGAGTGTCACCTGAAGATATTGTAAGATGTGAGGAACGATACAATAAGGGTAAAATGGTTCATTCGATTATGCGCCACGTTGCGGAAAAGACAAAGCATCCTATCGAAGAGTTGTATGAGAAGATTGTTTGGCCATTGAACAAGAAATACGGACATGCTGTTGATGCTTTCAAGCTTTCGATAACGTATGGAAATTCCAAACTACCTGGATTTTTTTTATAATACTGACATCAGAGTAGAAACGCCGAAACTTGGAATGATGTCGAGTTCCCTAACGATGTTGTCGCCGAGGAATTAAAATCATATATTGGAAAACGTCTTACACCACAACCAACAAAAGTCCGTGCCGATGTCGAAGTTACCTGCTTTGGATATGAGGGAATTGATGCCGTTAAGACCGCTTTAAGAACTGCTGAAGCCAGAAACACCGCCGATAACCAAGTTAAAGTCAAGCTCGTATCCCCACCACTCTACGTTCTCACAAGCACATGTCTGGAAAAATCCGTCGGTATCTCGACTTTGGAAGCCGCAATTGTGGACATCAGAAAGAACATCGAAGCTGCAGGAGGTGGATTGATCGTCAAGATGGAACCTAAGGCAGTTACCGAGAACGATGATGCTGAATTGCAAGCACTCATGGAGAAGAGAGAACGTGAAAACGCCGAAGTTAGTGGAGATGAGAGCATGAGTGAGAGTGACGAGAACCAGGTCGAGGTTATGTAAAAAGGTTTCATATCAAAGGGGATTTTAAAAGCATTCAAAGGTATTCTAATTAAGCCAAAATACGAGGTATTGGTTTATAGATTTGTTTGCATTGTAGGCGCATAATAGAGCAATAATAGCTTCTAATATGCAAATAACGACCAATCAAAAAGAAGTTTTCACTATTCCATTTTCATGTGATGAAAGCAGTGTATGAAATTGTTAGGAGATATGCAGAGGGCGAAGAAGATGCAGAGCATATTTTGGAAGTCTCCAGATTAGGAACCCGAGTACTTTTTACTTGGTCCGCTGAGATGCATAAGTTCAGAACATTGCTCGTTTTTCTCATAAGACTATGTAGTAGCTCGTCTATATATTCATTTTTGATGGTGATGGCTAGAGCTAGCTGTTAGAAATTATCGTATACGCCTTTGCTTGCAGTGCTTGGTGGTCTTTAGTATGGAGTGGATTCCCGTTCTTGTGTCAAGGGAATCTTTCTCCGGGAATTTTATAAGAGTGGAAAGCTGCAGGAGTCAAAACGAAAGTCATGATTTTTTAACTTGTGATGTGATGGATTTCTCGGAAATGATTACGAGAATCACATTCCCACGCACAAATAGTGCTTTGGATAATGGTTACGTGAACTTCCTCTCCGTAACGGTAGGTGATAATTTGTCTTTCTACATGACCATTCATATTCATTTCTGCACGCAAATGATACTTTGATTAGTTATCTAAGGTTGGAAGTAACAGTCATTTCATACCCATTCTGATAGTTGGGTGACTGGAGATAGCTTTCATATCAGTCGAATTCCATTTCATACCCATTTTGACGTATCAACAAGACTTTGAGTAGTAGCTTATTCATAAGTTCCTGCCGATGACTGAGAATGGTGTCTATATCGGCGGAAGTGTCATTTCGTATTGCATTTGATACATAAACTATGCCCATAAATTCCTTCTTGGTGGCTAGAATCATTGTTTCTTCCTCAGCTTGACACATCAATAGCATTCATGCCCATCAAATTGTCCTCATATATTCATTTTGATACATGAATCCTATCTCAAGTGTGAATATCACTTACAAAACCCTCCCCTATGACTGAAAATGCTGTATTCATTCATCCATCTTGCTCTTTCCAGGCGCACAAAAGGCTCGAGACTCCCCCATTCTCAGAACCTTTCTTCTTCACACAGTACTTCTTCTCGATAGGACCAGATATCTCTCGAACAACAAGATATACAGCCGCTACCAAAACTCAAGAACTCTGGTCTACTTTCCTGCTTCGATAACGTACAACTTAACACAATATTTCTTTCAAAAACCAAATCATATCAACAATTTACTCTACATCAAGAACTTATCATACCCGATTCTCTATCTCACTTCATACTCTTTTCAACAATCCCTTTACCAACTTTCTATACTGTCTCCTTCCGGGTACCTTCTGCTCTATTCCAACACTTTACATCAAGTGAACACTTTGTTCTTTTTTTGATTATCAACCTTTAGTACGTATTGAGTTTGAGATTAGAATACTACAAGCTGATATTTGATCTAGCAAAAAGCCTAGAATTGCCGCTTCAAGGTGCACTTACTTGCTTAACATCAAGCGATATATTCTCCATCGTACGTGGCTTTCTCGCCTACAAATAGTCAAGAGCAAAAAGTAACTAAAATCAGCGCATTCAGATGTGTCATTGGAAATATGAAACATATAGTTGCAGCGAGAAACATCGATCGGATGGGCATCCAGCTGAATTCAGACTCGACAACCCCGAGAAATGTACCGAAGCATTCAGAAACTACGGAGATCGCTATTGTTGGCCTATAAAAGAACCAACACCTGAAGAGAAAGCTCGTACACTCCAGGCTAGAACATTTAAATGTGAAGGCTGTCAAACATACGAAGCACATTTGGAAACGGGATTAATCTTGTGTGAGCATATGTCAAATGTAGGCAAAGAGAATCTCAAAGCATTGAAGGAATAGAGAGTGAGTTCGGACTGAGAGCGGATTTGAGAATATGTGTGCGCGTATTATGATAGGATTTCACGGATGGGAATAGTGGCGTTTAACGCATGGAAATAATAGATAGCCTGACTTTTAGAAAATATGAATTTGTCTTACGATATTTTTATGCTACACAAATGACCCTTCAGATATTCATATTAGATTTCGTCTGCATGGCTCGAAGTGAATGTTCTTGCTGCTTGAACGACATACCATATGAGTTTCCACGTATGAATCGCCTCAAATGGCGGAATCACTCAAAAGCCCCCTCTTGGTGACTCGAAATGGGGTTCATACAATGGAAATGCCAATTCATATCCTTTTTGCATATGAATAATGCTTTAAATAATATTACGAGTCAGAATAATCATTGACAATTGCAAAAGTTACCGCAGAATCCGCTTCTCCAATGTGCTCTTAAGGCTCGAGGTTCCTCGAGTTGGGGAACTTTTCTTCTCTTCTTCTCTACACAGCATCTCTTCTGCACACGAAAGGACGTACATTCTCCAGCAAAATCAAGAGTCAAAGATATATAATCTGCTTCTGCACTCCACCTTGTTTCGATACTCAACCTTACTTTAATACTGTGTTCCAATACAAAGCCCGACGCGACTCCACGGTTGGTCTTCTCTAACAATCGTTACCTCAAACTTATTAGCCAAAATGAGCGGTCTTCCCTATCAGCCTGCCCCGCATATTTCCTACCATAAAACACCACAGGTATCTCACCCTGCCCGTACTCCACCTTTGACATCAACATCATATCAACAACCAAGTGATTCCTACCAAGATATCCAACCGGCAAAGTATCAAGGCGATCCTCAAAGACCAGCAGCCTCACATGTACCTACAAGCGGTGGCTACTACAAAGCTGAACCACAGACAAACTACCAGAAGCCAGGACAGACACCCAATCTGGCCCATACCGCAACATCATCAACAACATATCAAAAATCAGGCGGCACTTACCAGAAAGTGCCACAGACAGCCCGCCCAACACGTCAAGGCTCCGGGCTTCCGGCTAGTGAAGTGGCTGCCGCACAAAATCGATTACAGAGTGCAGCACGTACTCAGGAGCTCAGTAGGATGGTCCCCGGAAGTGTCGGCCAAGCACAACAACCAGCCCCGGATCATCAAAATCGCGATCGCAGAAGCAGAAGCAGAGATAATCAAGGGAACTGCTGTTCCATTTTGTGAGAACTGGAATATGTTGTAGGACATCGGTGCATCAAGAAGTACTTTAGTGGATGGTAGTTAGACGGTGAGTCAAGACTAGGATAGTCGGGGTTCGGTTCGTAAGCGATAAAATGTGGGAGGAAAGGAGAAATTTTTCTTATTAATACTGCTTCAATGGTTGAAGGTCGTAAAATGTAGGATTTTAAAATAAAAAATAGGACTGGGTCATGAGCAATGGAATAAGAAAGGGAAGAGAAAAACGTTTCTTAAGCTGCAAGATGCACGAAAATTAAGTAGCCTGGCTTTTTCTTATGAAAAAATATGATTCTGTCATGAAGATCATCCATATCCAGAATGTGACATGGTTGTTGAATCAAAAAGCATAAGTGAACAAAACATGGGTAGGTTTCTGAAGAATCTGCACGTCTGACTAGTCAAGACCCCGGAGCGAAAGGATATATAATAGTCAGATATCCTGATTCACGCGAAGCCAGATGACTTTATATCAAAAATTGGAAATACTGACGAGTAGGGCAGTTCTTCAAATAGTCAGCCATGTATGAATGATGAACAGACTCGATTTATTGAGTAATACTATGACCCAATTACTGAATCGTCGCTACTTGACAATACAACTCACATACCTCGCCTTTCTCTCTCTATCCCTTCCAGCTCTTCAACCTTTTCGGTATTCCTGATACCATAAGTATTCAAACATACAATCTTTGAACAACACATTCTATTCAGAGCACTTCAGGTACGTACCGGGAGTCTGAATATCGAAGTTTAAACACAAAAAGCTTATACTGTATAGCTATCCAAATATCACATTTTCGCTTCTCCAAATTGTATTCCGTACCTTATTGTACTTTTCATCAAGTGTTTGATCCTGAGCGAGTATTCTGTTCCATCTGGAATAAACTTCTGGTGTGTACTGCGTTGTGATTTTTGTACATATAGTGAGCTGACATCTACTGCAATAGAAATACCAACAAGCGTCTAGTCCGTCCACTCATTTAGTAGCAAGCGAGACAAATCCTATCGTAAGCAACGTATCCCCCTTATCTCCATTTAAGTTTCTAATCGACCCAGATGTGTTATGCAACATTTTCATTCTTTGAATGCAGCGAGTGGCACTTTTGTTGCGGAGATGGGAGCTCGCTCAGATTCTGGGACACTGCTACATGCGCATATGCACGAGCTAAAGGCGGAGAACGTTGTCTAGAGAACGCGCTGATACGATACAAGGTTATGTCTCCTTCTTCTCCTAAAGATCAGCGGATCTATGCCACAACTTCCCACATACCGTGGCACAGCTACTCTACAGCAGCTATAGAGAATGTGGAAATCGGTTGTTGGATACCGGCGCAAGTGACGGCACAACGTAGAAGGGAGATTGAAGATTGAACTGCGAAATTTTGAGCGAGCAGAGGTAGCAAGGCGGGCAGTACTGGTAGAGCGGGCGGAGTAGGAAGCCAGACGACAGGAATTGCGTGAGGAGGAGAGAATCTCAAAGAGAAATTCGGAATCATAGAATCTAAGTCCTGCATCACAATACAATCCACGATGCAAGGAGTTTAAAGATAGTAGAATGTACATAGCCTGACTTTTAGAACATCGTAACTTTTTTAAAACCATAATCTGTGTCTTAATATGACATCTTCGAATAAAAGTGAATGGGTGAGCATGACTAACTGGAAAATGTACCCCTAAATCATTACATTTATGATACACATAATAAGCGAGCATAAAGACGGGGTGACTGGACAAGAAAAAGGGAAATAATGATGAGTAGAATGGCGATTTAGTCAGACAGATACTTGACCAGTCATTGAGGAATTCTGAATTCTCGAGCGATTGGCTAACTCCACCAATCAGTCATTGAATGTTTAATGTATGAATAATGTTACGTGGTTAAACGTAACTCATGTACCCTTCCTTCCCTATCTCTTCAGCATTACATGCGTTCCAACACTTCAACCTGCTGAACCATTTAATCTAATTCAACACTCCATACTATCAACGATTTATCCATCCAAATATCATATCCCGTTTAAATCAATATGTGTGCACTACATCCCTAAGTGCGATACCATAAACTTATACTTCTAGTTATCCTCCTTCCAACCAAGATCCTACTATCCGTCAATCCTACTCTTGTTTAAGCATCGGAATACACACCGCATTACCACTCGACACCCACATCCACCTACCATCCAATATCAAAATATCCATCAAATCGTAAGCAATCCCTTCCCGTCCCTTCCACACATAACCCAATAACACTCTCCACTCCACAGATGTGTCTCGACATCCTCTCAGTATTCTCCTGCGCATCTTACCACAACTCCATCACGAAGCCCCTATACCCCGGTCGCACAATCTGGAGCACCGAAAAGTGTCCAGATCTACTAAAAATATCCAATACTAGATCCGTGCGTGCAAATTCTCCTGTCCAAAGGGTCCCAATCGATATCATTTCAACCAGGGCACGGATAATAGTCGAAATTTGTGTCCAGTGTGTACCAAAGATTCAAGAGGTGGGATAAGTAAAGAGGAGATCGAGCGTAGAATACAAGCGGATTTGAGAGAGAAGCGGATTGTTGAATTGGGGTTGGAGAATAGAAGGCAGGAAGTATTTGCATGGGAAAGAGACTTGAAGATCAAAAGGAAATCGCAAGGCAGGCAGAACGTGCAAGACGAGCGGAACGCACAAGACAAGAAATGCCCTTCATACACCGGGCACCCATAAGACAGGAAGAACTCAGCAATGAAAACGTACCTATAAGGAAACAACCCAGCGCACCTAAAGAATCCCCGAGCCAGGGTGTAGCTCAAAGATATGTAGGTCGCCAACTTGATTTGGAAGAGAGAGGTGGAAGAAGGGAAGGGGGCTATAGAAGCCAGACGGGACATTCAAGCCAGGCAGAGCTTGCAAGACAAATAGAGCATACAAAGGAAGGCGAACACAGAAGACCAACACAAGACACAAAACAGGGAGTAGCCATGAGAGAGAGAGAAAGTCACGAGAACGAGGATGAGAATGCGAGTGATAGAATCCAGAAACAGCTTGAACAAGAATACATCGCGGAAGAAACACATCGAAAAAATAGACATGAAAGGGAAAGACCGAGGTTCAGATACTGAATACTCTGGACACCTTTCTGAAGCTCGGGGATTGAAGGACGAGAAATAGCTGTACAATTACTTTAGAGAAGCGTGATTTTTAGAAAATGATATATAATATCGAGATATTTTCTGAAAAGAGGTTCATTAAAATAATCGTTAATGAAGTACATGTCAATCCAAACCATCGAAAAGTAACACATCAACCCGTAATGTTGCCGACACTATAACACACCTCACAATCAACCCACAACATATATGTAATGAAACACCAGCACAAACCCCATCCAATCCATATGATTCCATACCCTTCGAATTCCAATCCCTCCTCACTTCGCACTCGCAATCCCCCTCATTTATCATAAAACTGCTCACTCTGCGCTCCCGTCTCCTGACCAACCCTCTGATTATTATGCGTATTATCTCTCAAATTACCATTCGTACCTCCCACAGCCGCACCACCCGTGCCAGCCTTCAAAACGCCTTTCTTCCCATTTTCCACAAGGGTTCCTTCACTATCTCTCTTATTCCTGTGCACTGCTCCCTCCGCACCATGAACGCCACCACCATTCTCTTTAGCAAACTCATCCGCATGCATCCCCCCTTCACTCAACCCCGTAAACTGATCATTCGGATTAGGTGGTGCAGGACTATCACTAAACGGTCTCCTCTTGGTCCCATATTCTTTTGGCGCCTTAAAATGATTCCCGTTTCCATGAACCTGAGATGCACCGCTTTCATCAAGTTCCCTACCCACCATTCCCTCACTCGCGAAACTGACTCGATTTTCAATAGCTTGAGCTTCTGGATCAAACACTTCTCCAATCCGTCCTGCGTCTTGACCTGGATTTGCAGTCTCGTATTCGAGCATCTTGATGAATTTGTAGAAGCCAGATGCGAGGATGGCGCCAAGAATAGGTCCGACCCAGTAGATCCAGTGGTAACCGGCGAATTGACCGCTGACGACGGAAGGGCCGAAGGAACGGGCGGGATTGACGGATCCGCCGGTAAAGTAGACGCCTGGTGTATGGTTAGTTTGTTTGTGGAGACGAGGGCTGCGTGTCAGACTGTTCGAAGTAAATCAAAGCACATACCGGTAAGTTCAGCAATGAATAGAGAAAGACCTATACCGATCGGTGCAATAAAGGTCCCTTTATGCTTCTCAGCTGCAAGCATAAAGATCGTAAAAACTAATTCAGCGGTGAGAAACATTTCGATAAAGAGACCTTGAACAATCGATGTGCCGCCTCCTAAACTAGTTCTGAATGTTATCGGACCAGGAAAAAGAGTAGAAACAATAGCGGCTGCTGCTATGCCACCGAGTATTTGAGCAAAAATTAAAAAAAGACCTCGCAAATATGGGAGAGCTCCGACAAGACACATGCCCATTGTGACCTATATTTTATTAATGTCATTCCCTGGGAGTCATTGAGAATGGGAAGAAACAGAGTGAAGATCCTTACGGCAGGGTTAAAAAGGCCACCGCTTATACGGAAGAAAACCCATGCATTAACTGCTAGAGAGAAACCAAAACATAAAGATATATAAAGAAGTTGAGCTGGATTGCTTGGTGTTCCGACGACGTTCGAACTATTGGCCGGCGTTGCTAATAGAGCTACTTGGGTGCCTGAGAAAGCAAATAAGAGAAAGAGGGTCGTTCCCGCGAATTCTGCCATTGTTGCCACGAAATGATTTCGGGTCTTATTGTGTAAGTGAAGCCATCTATGAGCATTTTTGAGCGGTCTTGTTGTGTAACTGACTGTATCTGGTATCCAATTAATGAAAGGGATTCGATTTGACTTTAATGAGTCTCTGCCGGCATGAGGCTTTCGCGACTTTTTGCTGTCGTTAAAAAATGGTAGTACGAAACCACCGCCATCTCGAGGCTCATTGATATTCATGATGGGCTAGTTGAGTCGACGACGAATTGAATGAAGAATGGCAATGCAACTGGGTATAGAATGGGAATTAAAATAATAATTGAGTCCTTGTGCTCATACAAGTAAATGTAATGAGCAACGAAAGAGGAATGTAATGTACAAAGAGAGCCGAGGGGTCGACTTGAAATAAAGAAAACCCCGCACCGCCGAGGGAAAGCTCCAGATCTCGAACTACAAAGCAACAGCATAACTAGTTTCCAATGGATAACTCCTTAACCCCAAGCCTAGAATTCCATATACGTCAGACATACGAAGCCGGGGACTTCATAGCATAAAAACAGTAGTTGCAGATTTAACTCCTTTTTAGCGTAAGAGAATCGTTCGTTAAAGACGTGAAGGAGACCAAGCTACAGCCGGACATTGCACTGCGGGAAGATGATGATAAATGATGATGTTATGGCAGACGCCGTCCTCACCCAAAGGCAAAACTTGCAATTTGATATGTTAAGATGAGTGTAACTGAACAATTACGGCTTAAGGAAGCTAGCGTTATGTCAAGCCAAGTGATTGCTCAAATGATCTAGATCATTAGAACAAGTATTGAAAGTCTGACAGGCTTCACAAGCAGAACGAAACCCCTACAAAAAGCATGGAAAAGAAACGATAAAATGTATCGACGGCTCACGATGCGTCTAAACTTTCCATATAGGAGTTTTAGAAGCAGTGAAGGGTTGAGCACGGATGTGGGCTTGATGTGGCGAAAACAGTTGCTTAGAACTACCAAGTAACGAGTACCACGCTACGTTGATGAATGGTTGTGAGGGAGAAGTCCACATCAAATTTTAAAGGTGTACTTGGGGATTTGGAGCCTTGACCTTGACGTACTATCAGAGCTAACCAGTTGCTGCTGCAGATGAACTTGATTATCTTGATAATGTAGCCCAGTTAACGAGTTGATCGAACTAATCTGTACCTAATAATACACCAAGGAACGCGCGATTAGATCGTGTGTAATAGAGAGAAAACATTATCTTGGTTGCGATCTGGGAAGATTGGAGAAATCCGTTGGCAGTAAATAAAACATCTTGTAGAATGCTCCTCGTCGTCTGGTTAGGAGACGATAGAGACAAATCGAAAGTAGCCTTGGAAATTTTGTCGAGTGCCTGTCTGGAAAGCAGATAATGCAAATGCCTAACACGGAAGGCACAGTGTATCTTTTAATGAAAAGGGGTCCATTCTTTAAAATCCTTTCATCTCCTTCATTCAGGAAAGGAAGATATTGGTCAATTTTCCAAGTTTTCGACAACAAGTGTTCGGAGTGACTTCCGCAAACGATGTAGAAGTAAGTACCTATTGATTGGTGAGACCGAACTGAGGGTAAACGAAAGCGACAAAGAAGCATAGCCTTATGTAACTACCTAGGTAATGACAATGGCCTTGAGTGTGATAATCCGGACACCGTGTATTATGGAAAGGTATATATGAACGACCTGCTAGGAATTGACCCAGGTAGACTTCGAACTCCTTTTTCCTACTCGATAAATTCATTCACGGTACTTCCAGCTGGGTGGCTCGGGTGGGTAACAATAGTGTGAACACAGCCACACGAATTTCCTCTTTAGAGCCAAGTTGAATTAAATAACCCGGTTGTTAATCGATGACATGCATGCCATTCATTTCAATGAGACACCCAGTTGCGGGTATCTCTATGCACTGGCGAGACTGGTACCGGTGAGCTCATTGATGTTCATCCTTATTACTCCATTTCAGTGTGTAACAAAGAATTCGAGGATGATTAGGGATGCATGTGCATGTGCGGAGTAGTTGTATGAAAACACCCAACGCCTGCACCTCTTTGTGTTGGCATGGCTATTGCTTTGCTGGCAAGAGGGTACAGGTGAAGATTAGTCGCAAGTACGAGTCGTAGAGTACGTAGGAAATGTAGGCAGAGTAGAAGGCGTCGAGTAGTAGCAGTCGTAGAGTAGCATAGCAAGCGATAGCAATTGGAGGGACAGAGGGGTAACACAGTATATATACATATATACATATATATATACACCTCGGTAGGTATATACTGGTAATATATTGATTTTATAACAATAATAATAATGATAATAATTTGTTAAATAAAACCTGATTGATTTACATGATTGAATAAATAGGAAATAATAGCTTACAATAAATATCATTCACGATCAACCCTCTCTCTCTCTCTTGCCTAGCTTGTCGTTCGTATTGTATAATACTGTAATACTCGTGCATACCTGAGCCACAGACCCCCCTCCCCTCCCTGCGCAAACTAAAAATGCGTGATCGTCACAAACAACTGATTCATCCCGCTCGCCTACCAACTTTCTTGTGGCTCAAGTCCGCTGCTTGTATCCCAACCCAACGACAACTTTCACCACCTCCAACTTCGTTTTGCCCCCTTACCAGCAAGTCTTTTGTTTTGTTTGTATTTGCAGCAGAAGTATTTTACAGAGGTTCTTTTCGATCGAGTCGGATGCGATCAAGCTCGTCCAAGATCCAGCTGAAGAGCTGAAGGAGTTGTATGTCGGCGCTTTCGAGTTATTTAAGCTTTTGAAATTCAAAAAATACGATACCCATCATGCGACCTCCAAGAATCGTGATAATTGCTGCTTTTCTCCTTACTACTTTCTTTCTCACATTTTTATCTCTGCGGTCCTCTCATTCACCACAGAATGTATCTGCTACTGCAACTACTCCAAAAACCGGAATACAATCGTTATTCTCCTTCCGAGCTCCATTTTCGCTCTTCCCTCCCAATGCGATTATAACTCTTACGAATGATAACACGACTGCTTTCCTAGCAAGGCCTGCTGCCTTTGGACCTTTACTTCCTAACGAAGGATTAAAGGGTCAGCTATGGATAGGAAGTGGATTTGGAGATGATAGCATACGACAAGGTCCTGTTGCCTCTGGGGCTGAAGGCGAATTAGGATGTAGTGATGTGCCAGGTTGGGTCGATAATTTTGCAAAGTCTGGCGCGGCAGAAGGAGCCAAATCTGGAGACGATAAATCTGCGACAACTGCAAGCAAATCGAAAACAAATAAAAGGGCAAATGATGACGATAAGGCCTTCATCGGTGGCACGTCGAGTAGTTTTTCAAAAGGCAAACATAATGCAGGAGAGCCTTCGGCTGATGATGGTACCGACGATTACCTTCACCATCCACTATCTGGATCAGCAGTATCAAAACATGCGGACAAGCAACCTAAAGATCTCAAGGCAAATCATGCAGATATTCAATCTATACAGGAAGGTGCGGAAATAGCTGGCAAGGTTGTACTATTGAGTCGTGGAGGCTGTGGATTCTTGGAAAAAGTGAAATGGGTACAGCGTAGGGGTGGTATTGCTTTGATTGTTGGTGATGACAAAAGTGGCGGACCACTAATTCAGATGTATGCTCGAGGTGACACATCAAATGTCACCATACCAGCTATCTTTACATCGCGCACCACGGCCCATCTACTCTCTTCACTCATAGGCCCCGGCACTTTTATGGAAGATGCACTGGATGAAAGTGGCAAGGCGACGTTGAAAGTCCAAAAGAATGACAAGGCAAAGAAAGTTACCAAAAAGAAGAAGACGAAGGAATCTCAACCCACGTTTACAGCTACTACAGCGACACCCAAAGCTACGAAGGCGGGCCGAACAAATCTGAAGAAGACGACTAAGAAGGAATCTACAAAAGTGAAAGGCGAAACTACAACAATCGAAACGCAGAAGCCAGGATGGTTCAAATCGTTGTTCTATGGAACTGGCGGACGAAGTTCTGTAAAGGATAGCAGTCGACCACCGAGCAGCGGTCAACTAGATTGGGTTCTTGTTGACGATTGGAAGGATGATGATAACGCTGGCACGAAAAAAATATCAACCGCCAAACTCACAGGTCAAGAAAAGGCGGATGCTGATAAGAAATCACAGCAAATTAGCAAGGGTGGAAATAAGCCTGCATCAGGTGATGATTTTGTGATTGGTGTTCAGGATTGGCGTGATCCAGATTTAGTAGGGTCGTCTGATAGCAAGGATTCTGAAAAGAACTCGAAAACAGGTATCGCAAAGACAGACGGGAAGTCTGATGCAGATAAGGCAAAGAATCAATCGCCACAGTCGACAAAGGCAGGAAAAAAGAATTCAGGTGGTGCCACACAAGAAGAGACTGAAGTAGCGCCTAAATTGCGAGGAGGAAGCATTACTCCTGGCAGTGGAGAATATGCACCTAAAGTCGCGTCGGAAGTGGATAAGACCAAGGCCAAGGAGACTACTGAAAAGTCAAGCTCATCTGGTAGCAAGACAAAGGGTATTTTGACAACTATTTTTGGTGATGATGAAGAGGACTTTGAGTTTCTCGCGTCAGGATCAAGCAGTACGGGCAGTGTTGATATTGATGATGAGAACGAAGATGATGATGATGGAGAGGATGAGGAAGATGGTCTTTGGGTTACATTGACACCTACTAGTGGAGCCAGTCCATTCCTTGATACCTTGTTAGTATTAGTTGTTAGTCCACTTGTCACTTTGACTGTGGTCTACGCATTACTACTCCTGAGATCTAGAATAAGGCGACGTCGTTGGAGAGCACCGAAATCGGTTGTCGAAAGATTACCTGTCAGAACTTACCAAACCATTAATACGCCTGGCAGTCGATCTCCAACGGTTCCATCCCCAACTAGTTCTTCAGCATCCACCCCACTTCTATCACACACAACACCAGGTAGACCTCGTCCAAGATCACGGACCACAACGGGGATTCCAGAGCCTGGAGATATTGCTCGAGTCAATTCAAACCCATTACAAGTACCACTACTCACAGCACCTCAGCCTAATGAGCATGAGAAGAACGTTGGATCGCCTAGTCAGTGGAAGAAATATATGGGCAAGCAAATAGAGTGTGTGGTTTGCTTAGAGGAATACGTGGATGGTGTCAGTCAAGTCATGAGTTTACCTTGTGGCCATGAATTTCACGTGGATTGCATGTACGTGCCCTTTTCTTTACTCTCGTCGTTTACAATTTATTGACAGTCTTTTCTTTAGAACACCCTGGTTAACAACTCGCCGCCGGACATGTCCTATCTGTAAAGGCGATGTGGTTCGTTCCCTCGCTCGAGGATCATCTTCTTCTCCACGTTATGAAGCGTATCATGATGATGACAGTGATGACGATATACAAGCTCAAGCAGCAGAAACTGTAAATACTGCTTCCTCGTCTGCACTGCCCATTCCCCGCAATCTCGAAGATGAGATTGAAGGGGATCTAGAACGGGGAATTTCTCCCCCGACACCAACTCGCGCTGGTAGACCTAGTAGACGGGGAGAAAGTTGGAGGAGTATGTTGGTTGATAGCTCTATGAATTTATTGAGCGGGAGTCTAGCGTCTCAATCGAGTAGTAGAAGTCCTAGAAGAGGGGAGGAGGACAGGAATCGGTAATCAGGTCCTGAGGGGATGAATATTACAATTTAATGATGAGAGAGATGGAGATGAGTGGGAGGGGCAATGGAGTCAAGCATGGGGAAGTAATTTATGTACTAGGTAACTTGAACCTCACCACACCTGTTAGCTCGCCACTGTGTTTACAGTAGGTGTAGGAGGTGTATGGATGAAGAAAGATGAACGTCTCTTTTGTACGGGTGTATAGGATTAAACTAGGTTAAGAAGCTAAGGAACGGCAAAGGATTGATGGATGGATAGGTGTTTTAAGACCTACCTACTTACTCGGGAGCCTCGGGAGTGGGATGGAATAAGGATTCAGGGGAAAGGCATGGATGGCGTATATCATTCGTTTACCTACTTATCTAGTTACTTTATAAGCTATTGTCCTTTTTTCACACTCACGCAATCATTAGATATCGCTTGTGATGCTTATGCCATATAAAGTCTGAAACCTGCGAAACTTAAAATGACTACTCGGGAGCGTATGATAAAATGGATCAAGAGACATTATCAAAGCTCCTTGTCAGATGTCAATTCAAGAAACCATGGGTTGTGAATCGGTCAATGGCTGGGATTATTGATGGATGAATGACCAAAATATAAATAGAAAAGTCAACCAATCGGCTAACAGTCCGACCCCCATGTGGCGCTTTGAGGAGTGGGAACTGCCGAGGAAATGTTGGTGTAAGATGATGTAAGAAAGCTGGGACCAATTGGGGAAGTTGATTGCATTGAAACCTTTATCAGCCACTTATCAGCCACCAGTTTTGGCAGATCCCATCTACTGCGTGTGTACTTCTTGTTAATGGCCACGAACAAAACTATGATTGTATGGTCTCTTTCTACTGTTACAGATGACTTGAATATATACGAGCAGATTCCCTTGTGTATACCCCAACCTTTTTAAGCTTTCCAACCAACAGACCGACCTTGTCCGGTTTCCCGCCCTCCGGTTCGGCCATTGACTCAGTTGGAAGGTATTCTTGACGGACGCAGTGAATGCATGATTCAGTCATTGAGTAGATGATTATATGTGCACGAGCGGGCTCTGCATGATCCCCTTCTTTACGGTACTTTTATAGGCACGATACCTATTTGGTGCGACGGGAGTTGGTATTTAGAGAGGAAGCGCGGGACGTAGGGAAGCTGCGGATTTTATTGATTCGAAGAGGTAAGACAAGTAAGGGGAAGAACAGACATCGATACTTTTACGACGAAGAACTGGATTTCGAAGATTGTATATCACACTTGTTGTGAGAAATTGCATCGCGAGAGGATCTGAATTGGTCTTGCGAAGAACTGTGTGGTGGGCCAGGAACTTGGGACTCGCAATAGTTGAGGTCGAATTTGACTCTCCGCGCTTACGCTGCGCATCGAGGCTGACGGGTCTGTTTGAATTCGAATAGAACTTTTTACGGAACGGCCGAATATTACGCTGTACGAGGTGGGACATAGGATTCTTGGAGTCTGCATTCAAAACTGTTTCTTGGAATCAGCCACGGACATCATGGCCGTGGAGAAATCGACGGATAGAATGGACGAGGAGAAGGGCCTCGCCAATGGCATAGATGCCGAGGTAGTAGATGCTGATGCTTTGGCTGTTCAATGGCTTTGTGGATGGTCCAGATATGTTACGAGGAAAAGGCTGCCTGGGGCTGCGATATGGTTGGAGGTATGTTAGCTCTTGGGACGGACTTCCCCCTCTTAAATATCCTCGGCCCATACATATCGGGTGGGGTTAAGTCAAACATCAGGATCGAAATTGAAGTTGAACTCAAGCAGCTAACTCGTGTCTACGAAGCTCATAGCAATTGCTCTATTAATTACAATGTTGTACCAACAGCAGCATATGTTGACATGCTTGGGATTGGCCATGTTCCGATTTGGTAATGCGGCTACATTACCTAATACTACTCTACCTTCATATGTATTTGATTATGGTAAGGAATTTGATCCAATACATCAAGCATTCATATTATTACAGTCTTCACTAACGTGTGGATTTATTAGCACCTCTCGTCTGGTTAGACCAATCAGAAATGTATTTTCCCTCGGACATATACGCTCAAGTCCTCAACACTAGACCTTATGTCAACCGTTCGTTGATACCCGAGGACACACTTCCATCCCCTCTCAATCTTGAGACAATTGATCAACTAAATAATTGGGGCACAGAGGTCTATCTAACATCCACAGTCGATATCACCACCTCCCCTGCCTACCTAACCGGAGTCGTCCCTTCTTCCACAACCGGTCGCACACAAGATGCCATCTCCTGTTCCGTAATTCTTACCGATCATGGAGATGGCTTGGTCGATGTCTTCTACATGTATTTCTATGCCTACAATCAAGGAAATACAGTACTTGGCCAAGAATTAGGTAACCATATAGGAGATTGGGAACACAACATGATTCGTTTTGTAAACGGTACTCCTCAAACGGTCTGGTATTCGCAACATGCAAACGGACAAGCTTTCAAGTATTCGGTGGTTGAGAAGAGTGGAAAGAGACCAATTGCTTATTCGGCGAGAGGAAGTCATGCTAATTATGCGATTTCGGGAACGCATGATCATACGATCCCGGATTTAAATTTGCCAGCCGGATTACTTCAAGATTATACATCGAGAGGTACAATTTGGGATCCAGTTCTCTCATCGTACTTCTACACCTACGATGCTACGACCAAGGAATTCTCAAAAGCAAGTGAGGATAGTCCAGTACAGGCGATGGAGTACTTGGGGAAATGGGGAGATGCTCAGTATCCAGAAGATGATAAGAGACAGAGCAAATTCTTTGGCTTCTGGAAGTATGTGGGTGGACCGACGGGACCAGTGACGAAGGGGTTGGTGAGGGAGAAGGTTTGTCCTGATAATGGGATTTTGTGTATTGTGAGGGATATTTTGGGTCCTTAGATGAGGGGTTTGTTGGTTTTTACTTGGTTCTTTCCTTTGAGTGGGTTATGGTGCTTAGAGTGTTTTTCATTTCTGGTTGTGGGATGCAAGTTTTGCGGATTGGGTTGGTTTGGGGGTTCTTTGTTTTTCTTTTTCTCCTTTGTGTGATGGGATAGTTCACAATTCGTTCATTGGTTTTGGGAGGGTGTATGGATAGATGATACGATATGACATGATACGGCAGGTCAGGATGACATGGGATGCGATGCGATGCGATGCGATGTGCTTATAGATTGTACGAGTTTGTTTCAATGAAAGTTGACGAATGGCGAAATGAGATGAGATAAGATGGAGGTGGATGATAGGATGTGGTATGGGATGAGATGAGATGGGTTGTGTCGTGTTGGAAATTGCTATAAATAGATACATGGATGGATGAATGATTGGAGGAAGTGAATAGTGAATAGGAGTACTGAGGTATATATATATATATAGTATAGTGCAGAATGAGATAATGTACATATTGGATTTGCAATGAAATTTGAATTCAAATCTTTGCAATTTTTGATCTACCTCCACAAGTTGAATATAATACTCTTCACTCAATCACACGATATATATTCCTAGGTAAGATTACATACATCTATCTGTGTTCATTTGTTTTTCTACAAGTCACACACCCCAACAATCCTACGTGAAGCTCTATGAAGTAATCAGTCATAAAATTATATTTGTCCTATATAAACACCTGATTCCAAAACATACAATACTTAGATGGTAAACACTCGCACTCATCAGCTCGGAATCCTAGCTCATCATTCCCTATCCACCGCATTCAATCAATTGCTCCTCCCATTTAAGCCCAAAACAGAAAGAGCCACCGTACACTAAAATCAAATCCTTGCATCACAATCACAAACCACATCACACATACTCTTCCACCCCCATCCCCAACCCCAACCCCAACCCCCTCTCTCCCTCCACCATCAACGAAATCTCACTCCAGGCCTTCACCAGATTCTTTCTAAACACATCTCCCGAGATGGTCTTACCCATTACCCGTTTAAGGTATTCGCCTTTCTCGGAAACCGATGGTCCAGTTGTGAGGATTCGCTCTACTGTTTCTGCGAGATCGCTTGATGTGGTGCCGAAGCGGTAGGTGGCGGGGAAGTAGTTTGAGGCTTCGACGAGGGGGGAGTCGGTGATGAGGGTGGTGACGCCTTTGATTGCTGCCTGGGGGCGGGTGGTGTGTTAGTATAGTTTGAGAGGTAGGGGGGGGAGAGAGGGAGAGAGTAAGGGAAAAGGTTTTTAAGAGGGGGAAGGAAAACACACCTCTAGAGGAGTAATCCCCAGCGTTTCAAAACGGGAAGAACAGACGAAAATACCATTGTCTCTCGCATCCCCCAACAAAGTGTATAATTCGTTCTTGGGTAATTTAGGAATCGTCATGAAGTAGGGTAAGTAGGCACGAGGCACAGCATCGAGGAGTTGCAAACGGAGCTGCTCGTCGTGGATATCGCCGCCTACGATGAGGATATTGACTAGGAGTCCCTTTTGTAGCATCTCGACGCCCGATTCGATGATGAGGTCGACGTTTTTGAAAAAGTCGATTCGTGCGACAGCGGTGAAGATGAGGGTGCGGCAGGGATCAGAGAAGAGGGATAGGAGACTTGGTTTGTGGATGTTGCTTCGAGTGTGGTTGGTGTGTTTTTTGACAGAGATGGGGGGACTCAAGGAGCGGAGACGGGAAGGATCCACGCCGCGTTGAATCAGATAGTTTCTCTGGAGTTGGGAGTGTTGGAGTACGAATATATTGTTGCTGTGGACGAGATGATCAATGTTCAATTCCTGCTGAAGCTTTAGGTGCTGGGCCTTTTCGAAGCCTTGGAAAGCTTTAGCGGCAAGTTCAGGGGAGAAATATTTCGTGAAGTCTTTGTAGAATGGGCCATGATGAGTCACACATCCCGGGAGCCATTTAGGATGATACACTAGGAGGGTATCGGTCTGATAGTAAAGCATACTTGAGCCAGAGCCATCCTGATAACCTGAGAGTATCTTGGCAGCGGCGCTGAGTTGATTTTGAACCATGGAAATAGCCATTCCAAAGTTGAATGATAACCGAACACATGGAATGGAGTTGCGTATCTCGGGGGTGATTACAGGAAAGTTGATATCTTCCACTCGTTCATAGAGTATTACTCCACGAAAAGCATCATAGTCTTGAAGGACCTCTATAACAGAGAAGGCAAATGAGGTTGCTCCAACTTTAGCAGCGGAGTTTTGAGAGGAAGGAAAGTACTTCGCATTGAGTACAATGATTCCAGAGATTAGTCGGCCTTGAGCGAGCATAGTTGTAAGTTATGGAACTGATCTTTTTGGATATGGTAGAAGATGAAATGCAAGTCTGAAGAGAGACTCCAGACTCGAGAGGCACATATTGATATAGATGAAATTTGCGTCTATAGATTTGGTCCTTTGCATCTCCGCTCTATATCTTCGACCCTCGGACGCACACATTGAGGCGCCATCTGCATTTTGGAATTCTTCTTTGCATTTCCAATTGGTTTCTTACACCTTCGAGCGCACACATCAAGACGCCATCTGCTCTTGGATTTCTTCTTTGCATTACCCCACTGTATACGCAACCAAATGAAGATATGAAATGTTGTAGTACAAATGACGATACTCTCTGAAAAAAAAGTCAACGATCTCAAATGACGGCGACTGTACACGGGGCATATAATGCAAGTGGCCATTCAGAGCTTTTGATCTGACAATGCGGCAAAATTACTGCTGCGAATTGAAGATTACTCTTGGGGGGCGTGTAGGAAAGAGCTGAACCACTAACTTCGCTAATTTCCCTCTGAGACGTCAGCTCGCCAATCTGCTGCAAATATTTCCAAACTTGGTAGCCGAGAAATGCATAGTCATGTATGTGCGAGGGTGCATTTGCAAACTTCCCGTAAATCGGTCATGACATCTGAGACACGATTGAAAATCCATGTGATAGTGAGAAATCTAGATGGGAAATGTAACACTGGGATACAAGCGGGGTATGTAGAGTAGTATACAGAATCAAATCCAGGATGTTGTTGTGTAACCTCGCATGCAGGCGTCCCCATTAGGACGGAAAAAAAGAAAATTTCTGTCAATTTTTGAGCTTACAACCTCTGTGTTGCACCATACCCCACGAAATAAATAGAACAGACTAATAAATGAGGCTTCTCATGGGGTCAATTGTTACATCGGATATTTAGCCGATCAATCGCGATCTCGGGATATCTCTCCAAAAAGGAGACCTTGATCTGACATTAGAGCAACTTAACCTTACACCTGGAGATTTTACTTGACTTTCGATTCGAACCCCCAAAGCGAGACATCAACGAATACTAAAAAAATAATTAAACAAAACAACAATAATTGGAAGAACAATGTCTACAGACTTGTGTGAAGAGAGACAACCGCTTGTGGCCAACAACCAGAGGCCCCCTCGCTTTCTGAAGCAAAGGTCATCGCGATGGCTAATCTTGATAACCATCTGCATGGCAGTCTTCACAGTGAGTATTGAAACATGATAGCTTCTGTCAACAATCACTGATATAGCTTTTTAGGATGCCTTTCTCTACGGTGTCGTAAGTGACTCACCAGTAAGCAGGTAACGCATTCATTGACTGTTCTAGGTCGTTCCAATCCTACCTTTCTCGCTGGCAGATAGATCCGGGGTACCGGAGGAAGATTGTCAGTCTGCTAGAACCCTTTATTTGTAGCATTTGATTGATGATTCTAGTACAATTTTGGAACTCTATGCTTCTTTCGGTCTTCGGCGCTGCTCAATTGATTGGGAGTCCTTTCGTTGGCTGGTTCGCCGATCGCAGCACCTCACGTCGAATTCCATTACTCACCGGACTTGTCGTTAATGCCATTGCTACAGCAATGTTTGGAATGGCAAGAAATGTTTACATACTTGCGATCAGTCGATTTCTACAAGGGCTAGCGGCCTCTGTGGTCTGGACGGTTGGGTTTGCTCTCTTGGCAGACACCGTGGGAAATGATGAGATAGGACATTGGGTGGGATATCTTCTCACAAGCGTTAACGTGGGTATTCTGGTAGCACCTTTAGTGGGAGGTATACTGTATGATTGGCTAGGATATCTTTCTGTCTTTGTGTCAATGCTTGTCCTTATCATCATTGATATAGCGTTGAGACTTACCATGATCGAAAAAAAGCGGGCACGGAAATGGCTTCAAGTACCCACCAACCCTCTTCGTGGTGAGACTTATGGAACCATCGGTCATCAGACAAGGATTACGGATGCACAAGTGCGAGTGGAAGGCTCATGCAACTCACCGCAGCCAACAGTTGAACCTCACGGTTTAAACAAGAAGGCTGAACTCATATCACACCCTCTGCCTATTATTACTCTCCTGCAAAGCCCTCGGATTCTTGCTGCACTTTATGGTAAGTGGGTAGAAGCCACGATTGTCATTGGATTTGATAGTGCTCTTCCTATATTTGTCTCAGAAGTATTCGGCTGGGATGCAGCTGGTGCTGGACTTGTCTTCCTCACTGTCACAATTCCTTCTGTTTCTGCCCCATTAGTTGGAATGCTTTCAGATAGGTTCGGCCCTCGTTGGGTATCGATAATGGGCTTTGTGATGGGAGCAGTGTCTACCACTTTACTACAATTCGTTAAGGAAAACAAGATATCTGATATTATAATCATGTGCATCTTGCTCACTATCGACGGTAAGTCTTTACGACTTTCCCAGCTTGAGAATAAGATACCTATTTAGGGTATTGCATATGGTGAAATTCAACACTTTGAGTAAAGTGACGACTAACTCGTGATGATAGGATTCGCTTTCGTATTTATGATATCTCCTTTGGCTGCAGACTTGACTACGGCTGTGATATGCATAGAGCGCGACCGTCCAGGTATTTTCGGCAAGTCAGGAGCTTACGCACAGGTTTATGCTCTTTTCACATGCGCAATCGGACTTGGTGTACTTGCCGGTCCAATCTGGGTTAGCTTGGCTTACGAGCCTTTCGGGTGGAAAGGAACGGTACTTGGATTCGGAATTCTAAGCTTGACACCACTACCAGGATTGGTAAGTGCAATCTGATTTTTGCCACCTGATGAAATAAAAAAGCACCTCCGAGCTTTGAGCAATCTCAGCTAACATGCCTAGATCTTGTATGGAGGAGAGCGTTACCGCCCTGTTACGGAAGGAAGCTGATGTGGTTGGAAGAGCTTGTGATATTGCAGGATTCTCAACATTGACAAAATGCAGTGAGGATTTGCCACTTAAGATCGTGTCAAAGTCAAATCATGCTGCTGTGAATGACTCTATTGCCGGTCCAATCCCATTGCATCCAATCCAATCACACCTGGTTAGAAATAGGGGGCTTCTCTTTTCTTGTACGAAAAGGAAAGGAGGTTTGAAGATTGGATAGAAAAGAAAACGAAGTTTAACAGTGAATCTTTGAAGTCGGTAATAGCTTTTTAGTTTAGATAGTCATTGGCCAAATGGAAATGAAAGCATATATCCTGACCGAAGCTTGTTTACTTGAGCCGAGATGCAAGTTCATTTTAGTATAGCCTTGGTAGTACTTAATAGCCAAGGCATAATCTTAGATCGAGGGTTTCTCGTGAGAGCTTTTTCTGAATTTCCGAATCTACAATAGTAGAAATGGAGAGGCGACCTCTTCTTTCTTCAAGACATGTAGTATATACACACCTCGGCGTTTGTATCAAGTATGCATGTTGCAAAATCACCCTTTAAAGGTACTAGCTGCGAAGATACAATCTAGCGTCCGTCGATCGAGGGTAGAGAATGCTTGTTTTGTCACTAGACTTGCTATAAAGGGCATTGCAATGTCCAGGAGCTGCAGTCATCTATAGCTGCTACGGCCTCAGTATCAAAAATCCTTAGTATTTCGTCCAAGAGAAAAGATCTATCAATCCACCCAAGGTTACAATGAATGATACACGACAAGATTAATCCAGCACCTGTAGCACCATGATCATCAGAAGCTTCACTTATCAAAACATCTGCCCGGACCTGTAGATCATTTCTTGGAATTGTAGGTATGAAGTCCTCGAAATCACTTGTTCTCTCGATCCATCACGGAGTCACTAAACCATGTCTCTATATCAAGATAGGACGACTCTTCCATTCACCAAGGGGGGGTAGTGTTGACATATTTACTTAACTTTTGGCAAATCTAAGACCAATTTGTAAATCGAATTCTGCTCTTTTATTCGTTCAACTCAACCTTATCTCCAAAATCGAATGTAAATTCATTTGTATACTTCAAACTCCTTCAGATTGGAAGTCAGAATTACTGCCCGTTCAATCATTATCTTTGTAAATTCTACAACGATAAGTTACTGCCTTATGAGGTGTTTTTTGATGAAGAAGACAAGATACTCAGATCACATAGATAGACAGATAGATATAGATACCAGAAGGTCAATGCACGCCCTCTCCACAATCCACCCATGCATGCACAAGGCTGAGAAACCACTACATTTTCCACCCACCCTCATCTCAGCCTTCCCTCTCACCCAAAATGCCCCTCCTCCACCTCCCCCTCCTCCAAAAATCATGACCCGCCTCCTCACCTTCCTAAAAACCTCTCTCATTCCCCTCCCCTCAATTCTCAAACCCTCATCCCTCTTCAAAAACATAAACTCCCGCAAATTTTCCACCTCTCCCACATCCACATCCTCCCGCATCCCCCCTTCCTCAAAGAATTCACCTACTGGTCCCTCATCATCGCCTCCTGGATCCCCGCATCCATTTTCTTCCAAGACCATATCGCTGAGCTGCATATCATCAATGGCGCTTCTATGTATCCGTTCCTCAATACGGGGTATAATGAGAGTTTGACGCGCGATGTGTGTTTAGTGGATAAGAGGAGGAAGGGGAGAGATTTGGAGAGGGGAATGCTTGTTTCTTTTAGGTGAGTTTTGTGTTTCCTTTTCTATTCTTCCTATTTTGATTCTCCAGCTTCCAATTTCGCATTTTATTTCTTATTTGCATATTCAGATGCAAGAAGCAAGATTCAGAATAAAAAATAAAAAACTCAAGCTAATTTTCCTCCCTCCCCAAATCAGATCACCCTACCACCCCGAAACCCTAGCAATAAAACGCATCATCGCGCTCCCAGGTGACCGCGTCTACACGCACGCCCCCTATCCCTACCCCTATGCAGATATACCTGCGGGACACGTCTGGGTCGAGGGCGATAATGCCGATTCGAGGAAGACATTAGACAGTAATCACTATGGACCGATTGCGATAAATTTGATTACTGGAAAACTGACGCATGTGCTTTGGCCTTGGGGGAGTAGGGGGAGAGTGAGGTGGGAGCAGTGGAAGGGAGGACTAGGGTGGTGAAGGGGTGGAATGGTGGGGCGTGATCTACCATCCAGATTTGATTGAGAAGCTTGACGTTAGTTGGGTGATTGGTCTGATGTTCTTTCAAAGGGTCCTGTGGTAATAAGGGCTCTTGATGAGCATCACCAATCGAAGGATGGATAAAGTTTGAAAGCTGGTTTTCATTAACTTCTAATACTATCTAAGCCGGACCGAGTAATTGTCAATCTAGGAAATCACCTATCTATTCGTTCTTCTTCTCCTCCTCTGCCTCCGGTTTCTTATCCGCAGCTACTCCCATAGCATTCAACGCCTTTTCAATCTTTCTATACGCAAACGAAAAGCCTGGGTAAAGGAATGGTCGCAGATCATATCGATTATCGTCGGGCGAATATTGCTCAGCATGATAACTCGGTGTAAGGGTAGTCATCTTATGACGATTAATAGAATAGCACCAAAAGAACCATCTAGTCTTCTCATAAATCTCTCTTGGGGAAAGGATATGACCCCATTCATGCAGAAGTTTAGTCCACATTCCATAGGGTCCTAATTTATCCACTTTGCGAAGACGACCGTAGATTGATAACTCGTTGTAGCTCATACCCATATCAGCCTCGTCACTCTGTACATAATCCTCGGTGATAGGTTCGAGCTCAGCGGTTGGTGGGGCGTCGATAAAGTCTTGGAGGAGCGGCATTTCAAATTCTGTACTGGCCCAGAGAATGAATCTTTTTAAGTCCGTTTTGGAAATGGCGCCAATGGGATTGATATCTGCACTACTGCAATCATATTTTGTGAAGTAACCTCTGAGTGATTCGTCGACATTTGCAGATCCTAAGACTAATAAAGATCCGGGTTTCGTTCTTCCACGAACGGTAGGTAAGAGTTGGGCAAAGAGATAAGCTAAGACCATGCGGAGTCTAGCTTGGATGTTTTGCAATGCCAAGTTCGATGCCGGCGTTCCTCCATACATCTTATATTTAGGCGTGTAACTGGTAACGGTTGTGAACAATGTGGTGACTGCTGAGACAACAGTGTCAATGTTGAAATCAAGATGGTAACTACCAATCTTTCCACCTAAATCCTTGGCGCGACCTCGTGTCTCTGCTGAGGAATTTTGAGATCCCATGTAAGCAGTATGGAAGATGCGATTGGCAATATCCTGTGAGCTGGATGGACGCCATGTGCTGTCTTCCTCTTCTCCAACGATTCTGAGTAGATCTTCAACAACCTGAGGGTTATCACCTTTCTCAATTGCTGCATAGACGATTCGACACATCGAATGAACTATGACTGAAGTAGCACAACTATCGATTCCTCCAGAGAGTGGCACAAAATATCCCGCTTGACGAGATCGACGAAGATAATCCCACAAGAAACAAGCTGGACCAAGTGCAATCTCTTCCTCAGGAACGTGATATTTGATTGGAATCTCCTTACTAGGTCGCACCAAGGGATTCACATCTTCAGCATCGCTCGAAAGGCTCATACCGGCTTCGATTCTTTCGTATGCTGCGGTTTCCCTCGATTGCATAGCACGGGATCTGAAGGTTCTATATGCCCTCACCTCTTCTAGATCAACAGTGGCAGTCACCACCTCTACATCATATAAAGAAAATTGACTTGCTTGAGCGACAACTTTACCGTTGACAACAATCATGGCGGATCCATCATAGTAAAGTCGATCTCCATCACAGCCCTGCTGATTAGCATACAAATATATGCCTCCGGCCTTCAAAGTAGCTTCCTTGATAAGTTCAAGACGAATGTTTAACTTTCGAAGCTCATGATGACTACCACTGCTGTTGGTAAAGATCTCAACACCATCCAATGACATATTTATATGTGGTGCCCTTGGCGTGAATAACTCCTCGCAAGTCTCAGCACCAAAGCACGAATCATAAGTGCTGATAACAGCATCTCCAATTGGGACTTTATGTTGTCCCGTTACTTTCGTGATCAGTCTTGGCAAATAGTACTGCTCAACGATTCTCTCTCCTTTCCATGGTGTGAACCATCTCTGCTCACGATAATTCCCATCAGAAGCCAGAGAGAGCTTAGGTCGAATGAGTAATATCTTTTCATTCATTACTTTCAGCTCATCATCAAGAAGACATCCAACAGCTCACTGACCTTAGAGTTGTAAACAATAATTCTACAATTATAGTTCACATTTTTGTGGCGAACTGGCATTCCTATATCAAGTAGAATTTCCTGACATTCCTCATGAGCAATGATTTGCGCTAGAGATTCCCACGAATGCAATTCTGTATCTGATTCCAGACTATTATGAATTAGCTCAAATTCAATTCTTCAAAAGCTCTTTCAAAAGTCCGATAATCAGAAAGTTTCAACCTCTGAATTCAATTTGAGGATTCAAATCGTTAAAATCATTGGAGTCATGCAAACCTCCAAATCCAAACCCACACTGCCCACCCCATCCCTTCCCATCCTCCCTCAGAACTTCCTTCTCGAAACCAAAATAAAACACTTACAAATGATCCTGACATCCATACCCCGTAACCTCCAATTCCGGCCCAACCCTCAACGATGCCCCCGCCTTCTTCGCGCGTCGAATACTCTCAATAATGCGCTTTTGATTGCCGTCAAAATCCAGCGCCCACTGATTAAGATTACATGTTGCGAGGGTGGCGAGATGACCCATCGTGACGAACTGTTACGATATAACAAAATGAGGTGATATGATGTTATGTGAGAATATGATGCGGGCAATGTATCACGGAGTATGTAGATATATGTAATAAATGGGATGCGGTTTTTGATGGTGGGGGCGGGGTCATCATGTGATTTGCTTTTTTAGTGCAGATGGCTAGTTTTGTGCGTATAAATATCGTCGTCGCTGTCGATTCGATAAGAGCGATTATATAATATACATCTAAAACTAACAATCTGTACTAGAAAATTGGAATGTGTTACTATCTATCTGTCTTAAAAAGACTTCGTAGATTTAGACTTACTTCAATACTGTATTAATATTGGCATCGGTTTATATAGTAGTCGAGGGTAATCATAGTTTGTATACCTAGGTAGGTATTCATAAGTTTGATGTCAATATACTTGGTGTATATATAGGTAGATATGAATACAAGCCAGTCCTCCTTACCTACTCTTCGCTATAGCTAGCACTAGGAAGTTGTTATCCCATTGAATGAAAACCCGTAATGAAAATGATTTCAAGAGAAAGAAATGTAGATGATATTCTCTTATTCGAGATACGATTGAGTAGATCTAGGAGGAGGACTAGGTAAAAGATTATATGTTTGGAGGTCAGTTGGAGAGCTAGGTACCTAGAGTAAGTATTTATTACTTCCATCTTCTAAATTCACGACACAGAGTAATAGTCTTGTGATCAACTTTGAAGATATGCTTTTTCGATTTTATTTTTTTGGATTATATTAGATTATACTTAGATACTATTTGTTGATGTGTTATCATCGATTTAGGTATCCATTGATATCTCTCCCTCTTTTCCCTCATCTCCTTCTTTCTTCGTCTACATAGACGAATGATCAATTATCATTACTCCCACTCATCTGCTCGAGTATCTAATCTTGGATCTTTGATATATCCTCGTCTCCTCCTTTTTCCCCTACTAGATATCTAACATCTAGCATCTAGCATCCATCATCCAACATAAATAGAAATAAAATCTTGAAAAGAGCGAAAAGAAATAATTAAATACACAACTCGAATCTAAACTCCCGAATCCTCCTGGATAACGGCATGCCCATTCCACGCCGTACACGTATCCTGCAACTGCGTAGTATCCAACAGTTTTGGAATCTCGCTCGCGCGCTCCAAGAACTGCATTGCGAATCCCATGCTGGTATGCCATCCAATATGACAATGCATGAGCCACGCTCCGGGATTATCCGTTTCGAATGCGAGAACGAGATATCCACCTCCTGGCAATGTGGCCACGTCTCTTCGTGGGGGTTGTTAAGATTGTATGTGGAAATGGCGGTTGTGGCATCGAATGTGGTGGCCTGCTGGCTGACGACGAAGAAGTCATGGCCGTGAAGATGGATGGGATGGGGAACAGGGAGGGCGCTGTGGATAACGAGGTAGATCCATTCATTCGCGTTAGGGACTGCGACGAGATTATCCGGTGTCCCGAATGTGGTGATGTTGTTTTGAACCATGAGGAGAGTTGGATCTTCCCATTCTGAGAGGAAAGTAGAGTTGTTGAGATACCATTTGAAAAGTTTTTGGGAATTCTGAGCAACGGTGACTGCTTCTTCGGGACTCTTCGAAGCGGCTGAAACGGTTTTTGGGAGGTACGGAACGAGCGAGGAGACAGGTTCGTCAACACATTCATCTGTGAAAGTGTAGCCGGTGGTTGTAGGGAGGCCGGTTGAAGAACCATAGTGAAGAACACCTCGGATATTATCTGAGTTATCATTTTCGGAGCAGGAAGATTGGGGAATGGCGCGAATGAAAAAATCGGAAGCGACGGATGCTTGGTTTGCAGTGATAACTACATCGTAGCGTTGTCCTGTGAGAAGGGTGTTAGTGGGGGTTTTAATGATGATGAGGGAGGATGATACTAACCAATAGCAATGTTGAGAATCTCAGTTTGATACGGAACAATAGGAACGAAATCCATCGCCATAACAGTCATAGTATGACTATCGACTGAGAACTTGAACTGAGTATCGATGGCACTATTTACAAGACGGAATCTGTATGATTTGCCTGATTCAACACTAGTTGAGAAACGAGAACCGGTTTGATTACTAGCACCATCCGCTCCGAAAACGTTGGTGCCATTGATAAGGCCTGTAGTCATTGATTGAGGACCAATGGTTTGAACTTTTTCATATAGCTCATCAACGGTTTCATGACCCCAATCACTGAGCATAAGCGTTCCTTTATCCTCGTCATAGTTAGCTGTGGCAGGACCATTGATGATAATACCACCAGCAACACCTTCCCATGCTTGAAGTCCAACATGAGAATGATACCATGATGAACCATATTGAGTAGCTCTCCATCTGTAGGTATAAGTATCTCCATATGCAATAGGACATTGGGTAACTGATGGAACTCCGTCGTTTTGATTGGTATTTTTTTGATGGATACCATGGAAATGAATAGTTGAACCATTGGTACTGAGACTGTTTGTCACATGTACCACGATATTATCACCCCAATCGGCAATAATGGTTGGTCCCGGGATACTTCCATTGATAGTTTGAACGTATCTTGAAAATCCATCAGGTGAAGCAACACCATCTTGAACATTGAACCAGTACTAAAATGTGAGATTAGATAGAGTTATTGATCACTTGAGAAAGTTCTTACCTCGCGAGTGACACCAGTATTTGGCACTTCATTGTAGTAGTCAGTGCTTGTCGAATAGTTACACCACTTTGATCTATCAGCAGCGGTATTGCCTGCGCATGGGGTTCCTGATGCTACAGCTGAGCTTGAAGTTTTGCTGGTCAAGGATGCTGTTGAAGAGGAAACTGGAGAAGTTTTGCTAGTGATCGAAGATGATTGGGCAGTCGAAGACACAGTATTTGCAGTAGTTGATGTTGACTTGGCACTCGAAGTGCTCGTAGGCTTAGCCGTTGTAACAGTGAGACTACTGGTGAGGATGGGAGGAAGCGAAGTAGTAGTAGACAATAAGCTCTGAAGCGAACTCCATTTAGATGAAGCTACGGATTGAAGAGAAGAGAGGGAAGTTTGAACAGCTGCGGCACTGGTAGTTTTGCCGCTTGTTGTTGAACACTTATTTGATGTAACGGCATTGGTGTTTCCACTGGTGAGGATTGATGGGATTATAGAAACTTTTGTGGAAGCTAAGCACTCGACTTGATTGATGATTTTCAGAAGGTCTGCTTGAAGAGTGGCAATTGGATTAAAAGACCATCCGAAAAGAGGAATTGCTTGAATTTGGCAAAATGAAAGGCACAAGGCCAAAAGAATGTGAAGACGCATGATGCAATTCCCTGAAACTTTCAAATATATGAGATTTGGTGTTGGAGTTTGTGTAGTATAAAAGACTGTTATGGTCCTCAAGTGAGGTTACCAAAGGAAAAAAAAAAGAAAGCGAGTGTAGAAGGGAAAGAATGAAAAATGGATTGTACTGTATTGTAAAGAATGAAGTTGTACCAGTGGGAATGAATCTCCCTTAAGAATATTTTTGCAATAATGAGATTCAACACCTTGAACCGGGTACGATAAACTACTTAGGAATCACATCGATGCTTTACTGTCAAAGTCCTCTGGACCCGAGCACCGAAGTAGACATTTGCCTTGGTACAGTATTCGTACAACCCTCAAAGAGACTTAGGACGCAAAATTTTAGTGCAATCCACCACACGGATCTCCACCATGGCAGGCCTCAAGTTCGTACTAGATTGACAGTGCAGATAACGAAAATATCTTAGTGCTTTGATCATCCCAAGAGGGATCCGAAATAGTATTAGGATGAACATCTGTCAAGCTCAGTAGTCAATGATGGATGCCACCAGCCGCATTGAGAACCAGGCAGAAATGTACTTGGTGAGAAATTAAATTGAAACAACAACTCTGAGCTTCTGACAAGCATACAACTTAGACTTGTAAAGGAGACCTGCATGTGAATCTGTCCTGGGTCAAGAGTGTGAAAGGTTCATGTCGTCCGTGCATAGATGTTTTACCAAGTAAGGCACGAGTAGCTAGAGTAGCTAAAATAATTTCGGGGTCCTAAGGTTAAGCGATGTACAAGCCTTGGTATTAGTTCTTCATTTGATCAAATGATCGGACATTTTACTTATTCTTGTACCTGACTAGTTTGTTTGTAGGCTCAACTTGTACTAGTGGCAACTGATGTCCAAGGTCGAGTAAGAGAGAAGCCATTCCAAATAGAGAGTACTACTAGAGTACATTTCTCTTTCTTTGAACTCATGGTCCGATGAGAAAGCTTTGTAACTCAGTAGTCAGGTACCATCTATAATAGTTCGCTTCGTGTGGCAATTTAGTATTTGAATGGCATGGGTATCGGTGGCACCTCGTTGTCTTTTTTTGACTGATGACCTGCATGCTCTGGGAGCTTTGGGATAGTCATTCGATCGTCCGTCCGTGGAAGCGTTTTACAAACGGAGATTTCAGTATGTCTTGTGTGTGAATACGTACCATGTTCAGATCCAATCGTTATGTCGAGAGATGACAATAATAACGCCACTGAATGGATGATGAATGCAATCTGCTGAGTACATTCTTCAAATCCAGGTCTCGAATGCATGGATCTAGATCTCGCGTCTGTTTCATCTGACATGTAGTAGTGGGAGATCTTTAGACGATCAACGTTGCTTAACAGGTAGGCGTCACTTGGGAGAATGGAAAAAGATATAACTCATCTTAGGTAATCTTAAGAGGGACCAATGAAGTATGTCATCGAGGACGTAAAGGAGAGGCTGAAGAGGCTGAAGGGAAGAAGAAACGAAAATGGATACACAAGGAAAGAAGAATGTTTGAAACATCATGGGGGATCTACTCACGGAAGATCGTCGTTGCATTCGTATCTCGCTCGATCATGCCGAACGATGCGAACAAAAATGGAATACATTCAATTGGTTAGCTTGACATCGGGTGGTCTACGGACGTAATTAGCACAGCCATTTCGTCTACCCTCGAATCATCATTGATCTGAAGTTATCAACCTTCTTTTCCAAGACGGCCGAATATCAATGTATCCCCTCCATACCCATCTCGTCGACCCCACTCGCTCTATAAATATACATGGAAACCTTACACTTCATACTTTCTGTTATAAATTTATATCCTCAAGTTTCAGATTCGGTTTGTGCCGAGATACTCCAGCTCTCCATCGTCTGATACGAGGTTCAGATTGTTCAATGTATCACAACATTGTGTTAATCTGTTAATCTGTTAATCTGTTAATCTGTTAATCCCATCTTTTGAAACATCGCAACGAAAATGCCTCGGAACCGTGCACTTGTGCTCCCCGATATCTCTCCAGCTACCAGCTGCGATGCGACTTTCCTTGAACTGCCTCTCACGACATTATTCAAGATGTATTAACAATGAAATTTCTTATTTTGATTCCATCAAAAGCTTGGCTCCTAGGAAATTGCTGATTCAAATCCATCATTCTTGGCAGGCTTTCAAAATCCAAGTAGCGATGTTACATGGTTTGTGTTTAACATCGAAATTCCGATTTTTCTTTTTCCCAGAACATGATATGATTTTGATATCCGTCTGTTACTCAGACCACCAGGTGGACCAGAGTCGCGGGACCCTTTTCGCCTCTCTTCTCCCTCTCGTCTTCAGTCCTCACCCACCCTGTTCAATGGCTCGGACTGTCGGAAAATTTGCCGTCTAATCACTTATGCTCTTTGAGTTAGAATCTTGGAGTTCCGACGAGGGAAATCCTTCCCATCAACACCCGTGCAGATCGTATTTGGGATTTTGGTATGAGCACTCTCGAGCCACTCCACAAAGCAAGTAAATTCGGATCGAGAACCGCGTACAATTGCACGTTTTTCACTATCACATCCAACCACCATGTGGCGTGAACTAATTATTCCATATGATCGACCAGGCTGACGAAAGCACCCTTGATGGGTTGGTGTGCCATTGCACTGACTTTCATTCTTGTCATCCCGCGTTATTGATTGTGTATCTATCCCCATTACGGCTCAAGCTTCCACAGGGTCAGATATTTTCTCCTGACTAGCAAAGGTCCAAGATAGTTCTTGGTGCATTGAAAAGCTTTTCTATTGGATATGTTAAAGCTGAGAAAGGATCTTTACAAGTCGGCCCCGAGCTTTGGTGTCCTGATATTTGTCTTCCCGTTCGATATAACATTAACGGTAAGTTCTTCGTATTCCCACGTCAGTTGTTGTATACCCGAATTTTCGTTCTTTTCATACATCTCATCCCTTCCTCGTCCTCTTCTGGCATAAGGATATTCATTCGTTTGACCACTATACATTCTCTTTATAAATTCAAGAAAATATGAAGTTTACATCTCCTCTCCTGTTCCTCTTCGGAGGACTGGCAGCATCTGCTGCTGTCCTTCCAAAACGCACTACTAGCTCTGCCGACTCATTCCACTTATATGCGTATGGTACTGGCATTGGGGGCCTTCCAGTATACTACTCTGACGGTAAGTTAACAATCGCGTTACCATCTATTGGTCTCACAAAACTAACTGAACGAATAGGAAATGCATTTATCGGCAACACTGTTCCAGCCAACTCCAAAGTCAACGCAAACATCACATGTAAGGATTCCATCACCCACAAGCACATTCATTCTCCCACAACCCGTCTTCAAATCCAACTGACATCTCTCCTTCCTTTCAGTCACACCCACTTCCTCCAGCGAGTGGATCGTCACACCCAGCAGCAGCAACGTGACACTGACCAACACGACCACATCCGCACTCGTCATCAACCCATCCTCTAGCGGACTCACCAACGTGGGATTTACCGGAGCGGTTATTGGGAATAGTACCACCAAGGGGCTTAGCGCATCGACAGCTGGAAACGGTACCACCAAGGGATTTATCGCGTTTGGGAACTGGGCCATGTGGAAGAATCCGAGCACGGAGAAAATTGTGTCGAATTTCTACGCGACGCCGGTTTGTGATGGGGTGTGGCAGTTGATGTGGAATGCGGAGGAGATTGATGATGGGTCGAGTATTAGTGTTGCGGTGAGGAAGACGGCTCCGAGTCATTAGGGATGTGCTGGGTGCTGGGTGTGGGTGTGAGGGATGAGATAATGATGAGTTGTATCTAAAGGCGGGAGTTGAGAGAAGAGGGGGTCGGGGGTAGGTTGACAGAAAAGGGTCTTTGTTAGGACTTTTACGGAGAGAAGGAGAGGGAGAGAGAATTTGTATATTAAATTCCTTCCAAGATTAATAGTGCTCATTTCGATGCTAGTAATTATTCATTTCAATTCAATAGTTTTACAATTATCATTTATATATTCTCATTATATCTATGGATAGGAAGTCAGCATTCGCATGCTTTAATTCGAAGTTTCCCCTCGCTCTTGCTTGTGATATACCAACCACATAGGTACGTACACCCACACAGTTTCCAGAATGATAAGAGTTACAAAATTCGATATATTCTGCTTACATACTAGGAAAGTTTAGTATGAATGTTATATTCGCACATACCCATACATAATGATTTCCTACTAATTATTATAGACGATAGAAATAGCATCAGAAATACTGTATCTTCCCAGTACTCTCTCTGGACATGTAGCTTTATCGTCCCGATTGAAGCCTCAGGGGGTAAAGCTTGATTAAACCGTGAGAATACCAGTTTTTTTATCTCTCGCATGCCTGAGCTGGTGTACATACCTAGTATGTGGGAGTGAGCGAGTGTACCTAGGTAATTGAGTGGCTGAATCCAATCTATTGTCTAGGATTAGAATATCTCCGATGCTTGATGGCGACAGTGGCTTGGGTTTTTTTGCATCTTTATCTGGATTCTTATCAACATCCACGATATATTCCTCCTATACCGGTATTCGTATTCACATTCTGTATTCAGCTAGCGCTCATTCATTCGTAACTTTATAGTGCGGAGTATACGATAGTTCTTTGGCACCCACTGATATATATATGTATATATATGTGTGTGTGTGTGTGTGTGTGTATGTATGTGTATTTAAATGTAGCAATCGTACATCTCGCATTTAAAGAATTCCCCAAAGAAGAGAAGAGTTGAGTTACATACACAACAAATAAAGTTCCCTATGGCAAACGCCTCTTGTGTCGTCTTTATAACCCCTAATCTAAATGACTGGTAGACGATCATTCTTTGATATACGATAAGCGCATCTCAGGGGAAGGGGGGTGAGGGTGGTAAGGGTGGGTAAAGAAGTTGAAGTTTCAGTAACGGGTATCGAATGGATGGTAGAGAAAAGCCTTTCTAGGTATAACGTATCGAAGCTTGAAACACATTTTCTGATTC